TTGAAACTGTGTATGGAGTCAGCCTCCACCACATCACTTCCTAATGCATTCCATTTACTAACTACTCTGACACTGAAAAAGTTCTTTCTAACGTCTCTGTGGCTCATTTGGGTACTCAGCTTCCACCTGTGTCCCCTTGTTCGCGTCCCACCAGTGTTGAATAGTTCATCCTTGTTTACCCGGTCGATTCCCCTGAGGATTTTGTAGGTTGTGATCATGTCCCCCCTTACTCTTCTGTCTTCCAGTGTCGTGAGGTGCATTTCCCGCAGCCTTTCCTCATAACTCATGCCTCTTAGTTCTGGGACTAGTCTAGTAGCATACCTTTGGACTTTTTCCAGCTTCGTCTTGTGCTTGACAAGGTACGGGCTCCATGCTGGGGCCGCATACTCCAGGATTGGTCTTACATATGTGGTGTACAAGATTCTGAATGATTCCTTACACAGGTTCCTGAACGCCGTTCTGATGTTAGCCAGCCTCGCATATGCCGCAGACGTTATTCTCTTTATGTGGGCTTCAGGAGACAGGTTTTGGTGTGATATCAACTCCTAGATCTTTCTCTCTGTCTGTTTCATTAAGTACTTCATCTCCTATTCTGTATCCTGTGCCTGGCCTCCTGTTTCCACTGCCTAGTTTCATTACTTTGCATTTACTCGGGTTGAACTTCAACAGCCATTTGTTGGACCATTCACTCAGTCTATCCAGGTCATCTTGTAGCCTCCTACTTGTGTGTGTGTGTGTGTGTGTGTGTGTGTGTGTGTGTGTGTGTGTGTAAAAAATAATCCGTTGATTATTGACAGTTGAGAAGCAGGCCGAAAGAGCCAGAGCTCAACCTCCGCAAACACAACTAGGTGAATACACACACACACACACACACACACACACACACACACACACACACACACACACACACACACACACACACACACACACACAGGGTGGGCAGACTGCATATTTTTGGATTGTCAGAAAGCCTTTGATACAGTGCCACACAAGAGGCTAGTGCGAAAGTTGGAGATGCAGGCTGGAGTGAAAGGGAAGGTACTCCGGTGGATAGAGGAGTACCTAAGCAACAGGAGACAACGAGTCTGTGTGAGGAGTGAGGTCTCAGATTGGCGAGACGTCACAAGTGGAGTCCCGCAGGGGTCAGTCCTTGGACCTATACTGTTTCTGGTATAAGTAAATGATCTCCCAGAGGGTATAGATTCGTTCCTCTCAATGTTTGCCGACGATGCAAAAATTATGAGGAGGATTGAAACAGAGGATGATAGTAGGAGGCTACAAGATGACCTGGATAGACTGAGTGAATGGTCCAACAAATGGCTGTTGAAGTTCAACCCGAGTAAATGCAAAGTAATGAAACTAGGCAGTGGAAACAGGAGGCCAGGCACAGGATACAGAATAGGAGATGAAGTACTTAATGAAACAGACAGAGAGAAAGATCTAGGAGTTGATATCACACCAAACCTGTCTCCTGAAGCCCACATAAAGAGAATAACGTCTGCGGCATATGCGAGGCTGGCTAACATCAGAACAGCGTTCAGGAACCTGTGTAAGGAATCATTCAGAATCTTGTACAACACATATGTAAGACCAATCCTGGAGTATGCGGCCCCAGCATGGAGCCCGTACCTTGTCAAGCACAAGACGAAGCTGGAAAAAGTCCAAAGGTATGCTACTAGACTAGTCCCAGAACTAAGAGGCATGAGTTATGAGGAAAGGCTGCGGGAAATGCACCTTACGACACTGGAAGACAGAAGAGTAAGGGGGGACATGATCACAACCTACAAAATCCTCAGGGGAATCGACCGTGTAAACAAGGATGAACTATTCAACACTGGTGGTACGCGAACAAGGGGACACAGGTGGAAACTGAGTACCCAAATGAGCCACAGAGACATTAGAAAGAACTTTTTCAGTGTCAGAGTAGTTAGTAAATGGAATGCACTAGGAAGTGATGTGGTGGAGGCTGACTCCATACACAGTTTCAAATGTAGATATGATAGAGCCCAGTAGGCTCAGGAACCTGTACACCTGTTGATTGACGGTTGAGAGGCGGGACCAAAGAGCCAGAGCTCAACCCCCGCAAGCACAATTAGGTGAGTACAGTAATATTATATGAATATTTAAAGGCGTCAGTTTGCAAGGATGTTGAAATACTCACCTCCTCCCTTGCCAAGGGTTAGGTGGGTTGCTGGGGTGCGTACGTTTCTAAGTACGCAAACCTATTTAAATACACTATTTTCCTCCCTTTTCTGGTTACGTTAAACAGTTGCATTTATTACGGAGTGGCAAATGTCCTAAGGCCACTTGGAGAGTCGTAAGTGACTTTATATTACGACCCAAGACCATCACAGTCGCTTCTTTCTTGAGTTAAGAGTTACTTAAGAGCAGGAGAAAAGTTGGTCGGTATTTAACGTGTGTGTGTGTGTGTGTGTGTGTGTGTGTGTGTGTGTGGTGTGTGTGTGTGTGTGTGTGTGTGTGTGTGTGTGTGTGTGTGTGAGCTGTCTGGGGGGTCCAATCTCTCCAAGAGCCATATTGTATTTTAAGTATACTCACTACCAGGATGAGTATACTCACTTCCAGGGTGAGTATACAATACAGCATCTAATTGTATTTTAATATCTCACTGCCAAGGTCAGCATACTTTTGAGTATATTTGCTCTCAGATGCCAACAAATTAGGCAATATACTCACCAGTAGACCCGCGTATATGGTCTCTCTCTCTCACGGGCAGAGTATGCCCAAACTACTCCGTCTGTCCGATATATCTTTACACCTTGTGCCAGGATGAGAGGCATTATTTAACGAAGAAAAACTACAGATTAAGTCGCCCATTGTGGAGGTAAGTTAGGGGAAGGTGTAGCAGGTGTAAGTTAGGTGTAGTTAGCAGGTGTGTAGGTGTAGCACAAGTTAGCAGGTGTGTAGGTGTAGCACAAGTTAGCAGGTGTGTAGGTGTAGCACAAGTTAGCAGGTGTGTAGGTGTAGCACAAGTTAGCAGGAAAGGTGTAGCACAAATTAACAAGACGGCTGGGTGCTTCACCCAGAAACCTCACAGCATTTTTCAAAGATCTTTCCCTTTTGACTCAGAATAATTGAATCTTAAACTTGTCTAACAACACAAGTTATGATCCTCAACGGCCACACGTGGACTTCTGTCAACAAGATCGCGGGTTGTTAAGAGCCCTTGCAACAAGGCTAGTTATAGACCCGCAATAATTGCCAACGAAGTCGTTACACCCAAAATATCACCGTTAGTGGTGCAAGGTAAATCCTTTGACATTTCGGGATCTCTATCGTAGGATAGACATCGTATTCATCAAAGCTTCTACGAACAACGCGTAGATTGATGAATACTACCGGGGTTGCGAGCTCGGTATATGTATATATATATATATTTTAAAAAGTAATATATAATGTTATATAGATTATATATATCTTGTAAGAGTATAAAAATGTGACTAAAGTGAGGTTTACTCATCCACTCACTCGAGGTGGTGTAAACAGCAGCGTTTGCTGAGGTAATTCTTGTGGTCTAATGACATCATTAAACTTCTAATTGGTAGTTAATGAAATTTTTTAGGATGCTTTGTGTGTTCATTTCTGGAGCTGGGTTGTGTGTGTTCATCTCTGGAGATGGTTTGTTTGTTCATATCTTAGGAGGTGATCTATGTGTTCATATCTTAAGAGGTGATCTGTGTGTTCATATCTTAAGAGGTGATCTCTGCGTTCATATCTTAAGAGGTGATCTCTGCGTTCATATCTTAAGAGGTGATCTGTGTGTTCATATCTTAAGTGGTGATCTCTGCGTTCATATCTTAAGAGGTGATCTGTGTGTTCATATCTTAAGTGGTGATCTGTGTGTTCATATCTTAAGAGGTGATCTCTGCGTTCATATCTTAAGAGGTGATCTCTGCGTTCATATCTTAAGAGGTGATCTCTGCGTTCATATCTTAAGAGGTGATCTCTGCGTTCATATCTTAAGAGGTGATCTGTGCGTTCATATCTTAAGTGGTGATCTGTGTGTTCATATCTTAAGTGGTGATCTCTGCGTTCATATCTTAAGAGGTGATCTGTGCGTTCATATCTTAAGAGGTGATCTGTGTGTTCATATCTTAAGAGGGGATCTCTGCGTTCATATCTTAGGAGGTGATCTGTGTGTTCATATTTTAAGAGGTGATCTCTGCGTTCATATCTTAGGAGGTGATCTGTGTGTTCATATTTTAAGAGGTGATCTGTGCGTTCATATCTTAAGAGGTGATCTGTGCGTTCATACAAGTTAGATTGAGATGGAGCTTTGAAGATATAGTGATGGAAATAGATGAAAATAATGAATAGCAAAAGAAATGAATGAAGAAGGGGACAGAAGCGATAGCTAGAATGAATCGTGAAGGAATAAAAATGGAGAAAGAAAAATATATGTACTGAAAGATTGAAGGTGAAGAAAGAAATAAAAAATGATGAATATTAGATAAAGAATTGAAGGTGGAAGAAAACGGAATAAATATAGAATGAAAGAAATATTAGGATAAAGGCGAAGGAGATAGCAAAGATGGCAGAAACAAGAGAGAAAGCAGGCGGAGGAGACAAGGCAAAGTGAAGAAGACGAAAGAGGAGGAGAAGAAAGAGGGAAAGGAATCAGTGGAATAGGAAGGGAAATTAGGCTTGTTGGTGAAACCCCCCTAACTAAAAGCTCCATCAATCACTGTCGAAGTTATTGAGCATTATCATGCCCCCAGCGTCCCTTACCCACTGTACTCCCCCCTTCCCCTTACCCCTCCCTTCCCCTTCCTTCCCCTAGATACGGGGAAAGAAGGGGGATCTTGGGGGGAAAGGGGGTGAGAGAGTGGGATCTTCACTTTCAGTTATATGAGAGGGGAGTTTTATGATAAGTCATTTTTAAGCTTTGAGGAGAGTGATACGCTGGCTTGGGCACGTATGTATGTACGTACACGTGGTATATATGTACACGTGCTTCACTCGACACGTGGTTCACTCGACACATGCTTCACTCGACACGTGCCCCACTCGACACGTGGTTCACTCGACACGTGCCCCACTCGACACGTGGTTCACTCGACACGTGGTTCACTCGACACGTGCCCCACTCGACACGTGCCCCACTCGACACGTGGTTCACTCGACACGTGCCCCACTCGACACGTGCCCCACTCGACACGTGGTTCACTCGGCACGTGCCCCACTCGACACGTGGTTCACTCGACACGTGCCCCACTCGACACGTGGTTCACTCGACACATGCCCCACTCGACACGTGGTTCACTCGACACGTGCCCCACTCGACACGTGGTTCACTCGACACGTGCCCCACTCGACACGTGCCCCACTCGACACGTGGTTCACTCGACACGTGCCCCACTCGACACGTGCCCCACTCGACACGTGCCCCACTCGACACGTGGTTCACTCGACACGTGCCCCACTCGACACGTGCCCCACTCGACACGTGCCCCACTCGACACGTGGTTCACTCGACACGTGCCCCACTCGACACGTGGTTCACTCGACACATGCCCCACTCGACACGTGGTTCACTCGACACGTGCCCCACTCGACACGTGGTTCACTCGACACATGCCCCACTCGACACGTGGTTCACTCGACACGTGCCCCACTCGACACGTGCCCCACTCGACACGTGCTTCACTCGACACGTGGTTCACCTCGACACATGCCCCACTCGACACGTGGTTTCACTCTACACGTGCCCCACTCGACACGTGGTTCACTCGACACATGCCCCACTCGACACGTGCCCCACTCGACACGTGGTTCACTCTACACGTGCCCCACTCGACACGTGGTTCACTCGACACATGCCCCACTCGACACGTGCCCCACTCGACACGTGGTTCACTCGACACGTGGTTCACTCGACACATGCCCCACTCGACACGTGGTTCACTCTACACCTGCCCCACTCGACACGTGGTTCACTGGACACATGCCCCACTCGACACGTGCCCCACTCGACACGTGGTTCACTCGACACGTGCCCCACTCGACACGTGGTTCACTCTACACCTGCCCCACTCGACACGTGCCCCACTCGACACGTGGTTCACTCGACACCTGCCCCACTCGACACGTGCCCCACTCGACACGTGGTTCACTCTACACCTGCCCCACTCGACACGTGCCCCACTCGACACGTGGTTCACTCGACACATGCCCCACTCGACACATGCCCCACTCGACACGTGGTTCACTCGACACATGCCCCACTCGACACATGCCCCACTCGACACATGCCCCACTCGACACGTGCCCCACTCGACACATGCCCCACTCGACACATGCCCCCCCCCCACTTGACACATGCCCCACTCGACACGTGCCCCACTCGACACGTGCCCCACTCGACACATGCCCCACTCGACACATGCCCCACTCGACACGTGCCCCACTCGACACATGCCCCACTCGACACATGCCCCACTCGACACATGCCCCACTCGACACATGCCCCACTCGACACATGCCCCACTCGACACGTGCCCCACTCGACACATGCCCCACTCGACACATGCCCCACTCGACACATGCCCCACTCGACACGTGCCCAGGCGTTCGACACTATAAAAGTGCCCTAGAGACACAAGTAGTTATGCCCCAGACAAATATTATCACTACTGGGGAGCAGATTCCACTAGTTCATTATCATCTAAGTTATTTCAACGGAACTCAACAGGCTGGTTGATCTGTCGAACAAATTTCTAGTAACATACAGGACGTGGAGGATCCTTTGATTGTTTCAGGCGAAGGTTAGACATACATGTGAATGAGTTTTATATATAACTAACTAGGATAACTAGAAAGTGGCTGAATTGGTAATGGAGTACCTGATTGAGAGAAAACAGAGTCATCGGAAGGACATATCAGGCTGAAGAGACACAGCACACTCCACCCACAATACACTCTCCACCCCTCCCCCCCCCCCCCCACCCCCAGAGAGAGAGAGACAGAGAGAGAGAGAGAGAGAGAGAGAGAGAGAGAGACAGAGAGAGAGAGAGAGAGAGAGAGAGAGAGAGAGAGAGGAGAGAGAGAGAGAGAGAGAGAGAGAGAGAAGAGAGACAGAGAGAGAGACAGAGAGACAGACAGAGACTCGAGAGAGAGAAGAGAGAGAGAGAGAGAGAGAGAGAGAGAGAGAGACAGAGAGACAGAGAGACAGAGACAGAGACAGAGAGAGAGACAGAGAGAGGAGACAGAGAGGAGAGAGAGAGAGAGAGAGAGAGAGAGAGAGAGATGAGTGATTACAAAGGTCAATCAACGTCGTGTGAATAGAAGAGAGGTGGGGAGGGGGGGGAAATGGTAAAAGGGGGGGGGGAGAGAGAAAGGGTGAGAGGGGTTAAGGGGTGTGAAAAGGGGGGTTGGGGTTGAGGAAGCACTCAAGGAGGAGCAGAGTGCACATTACCACTCGGGCGTCTACAAGAGGCGGACAGTAAGGTGCACTGGTTTATTGGTACTGCTAATTGTTCTCAGGATTGTAAGTGTGTCTTCCATCACACTTGTCTGAGTGCACTCACTCTGTTGTTGTGCTCGCACTCTCCTCCCACTTGGCTCCTCTTCTCAAGTCATCATATATATATATATATATATATATATATATATATATATATATATATATATATATATATATATATATATATATAATATATATATATATATATATTTTAAAAAGAACCTAGAAGGGGTACCACCTCTGGTGCAAGTGTAGGGACCCATAGCCTCGGAGAAGAAAATAAAAAGTACTCAGAGAAAACCTTGTGGATCCTCACTGAACACTTTGATATTTTCTTCTCCTACCGCCCCTATTCTTTTGGTATGTGTGTATATTTATCTAACTTTATTTGAAAATTTCATTACACAAAAAAAAAGTTACAATATTGATTACATGCAGGTAACAAGTATTTCACTTTCCTTCGAAACAGTTTCCTTGTTTCACTTATATATTTTCACATTGTTTTTCACGTGTGAATTTCTTCGCATGTACGCATGCAAGTGTGTACGTACGCGTGTGTGTAAGCATGCGCGCTTGTGTACTCACCTAGTTGTACTCACCTAGTTGTGTTTGCGGGGGTTGAGCTCTGGCTCTTTGGTCCCGCCTCTCAACCGTCAATCAACAGGTGTACAGATTCCTGAGCCTATTGGCTCTATGTGTGTGTACGCATGCGCGCGTGTGTGTGTACGCATGCGCGCGTGTGTGTGTACGCTAAGAAATGATAATTCCCCCCTCGCTTGGTCAACATGCGAAATAAAAAGAAATGCCAATGTAAAAAAATGGGTAAGAGGGGGGGGGCGTGGTGAGAGACCTAGGTAGATAAGAGGGAGGGGTGGGAGAGGCAACACGGTGAGAGATGAGATAGAGGTCCAAGGAAGTGGAAGATAAAGACAGGGAAGCAAGGAGGAGCGAAAACGAAGGAAGGGAAAGAGAGAAAATAAAGAGGGCGTGAGATAAGGAAGACTAAATAAGACAATGGAGGAAGCTAAAGAGAAAATGGGTGGAGGTGTTAAGGGGGAAGGGGTAATGGGGGAACAGAAATGAAAGATAATTTAGAACGGCAATAGAATAGGGATAAATAGGAAATAATTTAGGTTGAATTATAAAGAGGGAAGAGGAGTAGAAAATGGGATTGTTTAAGGGGTAAGGGGGAGGGGGCTAGGTTATGGGTAAAGATGATGGGGTTAGGGGGAAAGGGGAGAGAGGAGTGAAGGGGGGGGGGGAATGTGACTAAAATAACTACAGACACCCATCATGAGTGACAGGCTGTGAGGGAGGGGTGAGGATGAGGGGGGGGGATTAGGGGGGTTCTAGGGTAGGGGAAGGGGTTTGGGGGGCTGAGAATGTGGGTAGGGATAGGGGAGGCTGAGATTGTGGGTAGGGGATGGGTAGGGGGGCTGAGAGTGCGGGGTAGGAAGGGGGAGGGAATTATACAGAGATGGAAAAGGTGTGATGGTAGTGTTTACCTAATAGTGACAACAGGAGAGCTGGGAGTAACTCCTGTGTCGTATTAAGTTGGAGTCTGGAGGTGGCTTCCACAACTTTCTCTTTCTGAACGAGTATTTCAGTACATTTCTTCGACTTATTTGCATTCCCAGCTTCCACTTCTGGCCTCTTGTCCTCACTATCTCTCACTTTTAAAGCGGCTGTCCTTTTCCACCTTGACTATGCCCAAAAATCTTGTACGTTGTGATCATATCTCCTTAGTTTCTTCTGTCCTCTAAGGTTGTGAGATCTGTCTTTGTAGCTCAGTCCTCTTAGTTCAGGCAGGTGGACGGGGGAAGGAGGGGTTGTATGTCTGTATACAGACATGCTTGAATGCACTTGTGTGCGTTTAGAGCACCTGGATTGATGGTGACTAGCCAATGCACGCACGCACGCACACACACGCACACACACACACACACACACACACACACACACACACACAACAACATACACACACAACACACACACACACACCACACACACACACACACACACACACACACACACACACCACACACACACCACACACACACACACACACACACACACACACACAATGATATAGATACAACACCTAACTCGAGCCAGTAACATCTTGAGCCCAAAATACACTTAAGATGTTTCCACCAAATCTGATACATATGTTGCAGATGTTTGACAAGAGCGATGGCGAGGCGGTTATTAAACTCGCAGGTGTTTTATACGTAAAGTGTCTCTTAGCACAGTTGGCTAAATTTTAGATTCACAATCGGGAAACCAAGGTTCGATACCTGGACGGAACAGAAGTGTTTGGCCATATCTCCGTTCACCTAATGCCTCTGTTCACCTAGCAGTTAGTAGATACCCGGGAGTTAGGCAACTGTTGTGGGTCGCATCCTGGGGAGGGTCATTGGCTATATATATTCACAGGCTTCCTGTCCCAGACAACGAAACTGGCTACATGGAGATAGCGAAAGACTTAAGAAACGCTAAATAACTGCTCACTATGTTTTAAGACTTTTGACGTCCTCCGTTCGAGGCGTTCAGTCTTAAAGAAAAACATCTTATGCTTAGTGAATACGCACTTACGCGTGGCGTATCCCACAAGGCAATATTGATTGCTGAAATCTTAAACTAATAATTCTTGTACCCTCAAAGGAATATTAACGGCGGAGTTCTTGTACCTGTGGGAGATGGTAATATTTCTTTGGGGCCTCGGAGTGCTCTGTTGTTAGTCAAAGTCTTGTGGACAAGATCTTGTATGTCTTAATTTTTGTGTTTTCCCTCAAAGGGCGAGTTTATTGGGCAGCGTCACTCATGCTGTGAGTGGACACACCGCCATAGTGACAGTATTGGGCAGCGCCACTCATGCTGTGAGTGGACACACCGCCATAGTGACAGTATTGGGCAGCGTCACTCATGCTGTGAGTGGACACACCGCCATAGTGACAGTATTGGGCAGCGCCACTCATGCTGTGAGTGGACACACCGCCATAGTGACAGTATTGGGCAGCGCCACTCATCCTGTGAGTGGACACACCGCCATAGTGACAGTATTGGCAGCGCCACTCATCCTGTGAGTGGACACACCGCCATAGTGACAGTATTGGGCAGCGTCACTCATCCTGTGAGTGGACACACCGCCATAGTGACAGTATTGGGCAGCGTCACTCATCCTGTGAGTGGACACACCGCCATAGTGACAGTATTGGGCAGCGCCACTCATCCTGTGAGTGGACACACCGCCATAGTGACAGTATTGGGCAGCGCCACTCATCCTGTGAGTGGACACACCGCCATAGTGACAGTATTGGGCAGCGCCACTCATCCTGTGAGTGGACACACCGCCATAGTGACAGTATTGGGCAGCGCCACTCATCCTGTGAGTGGACACACCACCATAGTGACAGTATTGGGCAGCGCCACTCAGAAACATACCATTACTTGCAGTTGGGTGACTCTTCCTGTCGTGGGAGTGCCCGCAGCGTCACCTGCCGGAGGAGTTATGAGGAGGGCCATCTGTGAGGAGTGACGAATTACTCACATACACTCCAAAAGCCTCACCATAACCTAGTCCAAAAGCATTTATGGCGATAAAGCTTAACCAGGAGCCATAACACTGTCTCATAAACAGTTACCAAAAGGATGTTAGTTACGTCGACAGATGCTATACCCTCCTCCACCCTTCAGAGGCCAATGATTGAGACGTTTCATGTCGTTGCCAAGTCTCGGTGGACGGGGGAAGGACGCCGTCAAAAACAATCCCTGTTCAACGTATTACAGAATACTGAGGGATCTTGTAATGCAAACGATCGGAATGTGTCAAGGATTCCCTATAGCTGTCTCATCTGTACCCGTTGTGTGTGATGGGTATAGAGGGAGGGGTGGGTATTGGGGCATTGGGGGGAGGGGGGTATTGGGGAGGGAGGGGGTATTGGGGCATTTGGGGGAGGGAGGGTATTGGGGCATTGGGGGAGGGGGGAGGGAGGGTATTGGGGGCATTGGGGGAGGGGGGGGGTATTGGGGCATTGGGGGGAGGGGGGTATTGGGGCATTGGGGGGAGGGGGGTATTGGGGGAGGGGGGGTATTGGGGCATTGGGGGGGGAGGGGGGGCATTGGGGGGGGGGGGGGGTATTGGGGCATTGGGGGGATGAGGGGGATGGTATAGTTTGACAGTGTATGTGCTACCTGTCAAGATATATCATAGCCTCTCTTCTCTGGCTCCTTGGGTATGCCGACCTTGTCAGTTACTTGACTGCAGATCCTCACTGACTGGTAACTACCTGCCTGATGACTGACTGGTTGACTGGTTGGCTGACTGCTGACTGTAGTTCACCTGCTAGAAGAACGCTAGTTGCTGACGGTTGAGAGCGTACTAACCACTGACTTACAGCTCAATATTATCTAGTGACTACCGATAAACTGATCGTTAGCTCCTGACTGACTGCAGTCTGCTGACTGACCACTGACTCTCTGCCTGCTGTTTTCTTGGTTAACAAAGTTAGATATCAGATAAATCCACAAGGGGCCGTCATCAGGGTTCGAACCTTCGCACGGGATGTTCCATGTCGTGGCACAGTTGACAAAGGCGCAGCCGGGAACACCCCGTGCGTAGGTTCGAAACCTCATCACGGCCCATGTGGATCTGTTCATATATTCTTGTACAGCCACTAGCACGCATAGCGTTTCGGGCAAGTCCAAATTTTCACACACACACACACACATATCCCCAGGAAGCAGTCCGTGGCAGCTGTCTGACTCCCAGGTACCTATTTACTGCTAGGTGAGCAGGTGCACCAGGCTGAAGGAAACTGCCCGTTTGTTTCCGCCTCCGCCGGAGATCGAACCCGGGGCCTTAGGACTACAAACCCTGATCGCTGTCCACTCAGCCGTCAGGCCCCTATATATTATCTATATAGCACATATATCTACTTTATTAGGCCTTAGACGGTATATATTTGGCCTAGAATTACGATTTCTTTAGTCTACTAATTTGGACAAATTTAATAATACA